TAAGATACTTGTTATAAGAATGGAAATGCTGTTGACAATATTATTGTAAGGGTTTCCTCTCCCTCATTAGGTTTACAGACGGCACGCCCAAACCGGGGAGATTATGGAACCCAGTTTTCGCTGAATTAATTTTTTTCAAAGCTTTCAATAAGATATTTGTTATAAGAATGGAAACTCTCTTGACAATATTATTGTAAGGGTTTCCTCTCCCTCCTAAGGTTTACAGGCGGCACGCCCAAACTGCAAAAAAGATGGAATCCAGTTTTTGCTGAATTAATTTTTTGAAAGGTTTCAGTAAGATGGTTATAAGAATGTAAACTCTTTTGACAATATTATTGTAAGGGTTTCCTCTCTGTCTTTAGGTTTACAGGCGGCACGCCCAAACTGCGGAGGTGATGAAACCCAGTTTTCACTGAATAAATTGTTTTAAAGCTTTCAATAAGATGCTTATGATAGGAAGAATGAGATTGAATTCTAACTTTTTTTCAATTTTACCAAGGACAACACCTTCACATAAGTTATTGTCTCAAAAGTAATGTTGTTTGCTCTTTTTTAAGTTTTCAGGCAAAACACATGGCACTGATGTCCAGCTAAAATTCCAATTAAGAACCGAATGAAAAAAATAATTCTGCAGGTCAAACCAGGGAGTTTGACATTGCACTGACTGCAGGTGACAAAAAACAAACGGCTCTTTTAGGAGCCACCATACGTATTAAAAGATAATGACCAATCACAGAGTAGACCAGTAAGTGTCCATTAAACTGTATCATTTTAATCTTTATGTCCTCCTTTCAGCAAGATTGAACAGATTTAAAAGCTGTTTTGTTGAGCACAAAGTGATTTTTTCTGGTTAAAGCAGCTACTGATTTGTTAACTAACATTAACTTGCTACAAATTAAGCTCAAAATCACTGAAATACATATAAAATTCATATAGGCTTTCCAATTTCCTTTAACAGGTAAAAACATTATTTAGTCGATTTAAATAGCATGTCTGTTTAGTTAGTGTCTATATAAGGTAAAATTTGCTTTTTACTAAAGTTGCATGAAGAAGTTGCATTGTTTTGGTATTAAAAAATTGATGTTCTATTTGCAACAATGACTACACCTTCCCATAGATACTATTGTCTTCCAAGGTCAGTGTTTTATGCTTTTTCAACTTACACTTTAATGAATAATATGATATCTATGTCAAGCTTACATTTCAAAGAGGCAGAGAAGAATAAAAAAGCAAAATTAACCTCTGTACAGGTCAAACAAGGAAGTTTGTCAATTAACACTGCTCTTTGCAGGTAGGAAATGGAAGAGAAACAACTTCCCAGATATTTCAGGGAAGTGAAGTCAACTTTAAAGCCATTGCCTGAATGTTTGATCAATATTGAATAGACTGCAAATTAACAAAAACTGTTCATAAAAAGAAGTTTCGAACAGTTACTTTTTTAATATAGAGTCTTATTGAAAGTTTTCCATTCCTTGTGGTGGAGTATAGATCTGGCCAACAGATTACCTCTACCTCCCTATGTGGTCCGTCCTTGTCCTGGACCCACCCCCAAACTTGCTTTGGGTGTTAGACGTTTGGTGAATAGATCCCCTGACAACTCCTCATTTCTGATAGTGCTCCAAAAACTACGGTTCTTGGCAGCCTGGAGCTCCTACTGAGGGCTAAGGTCAGATCTTTTCTCCACTTCCTGTAGGTCACTGTACAAGGTCGTATCATTCAGTTTAAGGAGGGTTTGTTCATGCAATGCATCAGTAAATGGAGTGAGGCTATGCATTTTATAGGAAACTCGCCTTGTTGATGGGCAGTAAAATGGAGGCTTCTTATGAGGTACCTGCCTCGTGCTATGCACCCTGCATCATCCCATTTGACAAGTTAAGTGCCCAAAGTACCTTTCAGGAACCTGTGGGAATTGTAAAGTCACCCAACCACCTAGAAATGAAAGTAGACAAAACCAGCTACAATTAAATTGGGTCTTCAGCACATTTTTTTGACAGGAGAAGTGTAAGTTTAAGCTTTCTGAGATCATCTGACCTTCTAAGTAAAATAAAGATTTTATTCATTCATTCGCACACAGTCGTTCTGTTTCGTCACGCAACGCTCTCCTCCCTTAGCCGGGATCATTGTGTGACGAGCGAAACTCGAGTAACGTGCGCTCGTGCCAGTGACAGAATCGGCTAAATGACGCGCAAAGTACTTTGCTACTAAACTGAGAAAAAGAAAATAGCAAAGTTTGAGGGTGAAGACTGTACGCACAGCTGAAAGGATGATTGGGTAGTACCTTAGGTGACTTTTAACGAGGAATATTCAAGTGCATAGATCTAAATTAAAAGCGATGCAAAATGCTTAGGTGGTATTAGGCTTTGTGCCGTTTAAATTCGCCACTTACCACGTAAACGAGGATTAAGGGAAGCGTTTATCTGCTCCGTAAGCCCTGCCAGCCACGATAAATATCCTATTTTAAAATCTTGCGATCTCCTTCAGGTTAAGAAATCCAATGTCGGGCACTGAAGACTTGTTCTCTTCGTTGTCCAAAAACACCACATTTAAGGCTCGATCACCACCGTGTGTTTTCTTCCGCTTGCTTTTGAATTGCGCAAAAAGTATTAAACTTTCCAGTTTATAAACGACATTTCTGTGAAAAAGTAAAGCGCAGATCCATGTCGTTGTCAGCTATAACGGATTCGTTAATATCTCGCCGTCGATTTTCCTGTAGCAAACTAGAAATTTGTCAAGTAACATTCCTTGTCAATCACATAGGTTATGAGAATAAAGGACGTGATCACACAGCGCTTGCAATTGATATAAAATAACTTCTAACCATTTAAGAGGGAAATGTATGAGGACAGGTAAAAGGAATTTACTTTTGATATGTGGGTTAAGTACGGGTGTTCTTGAAACGTTGGATTCTGTTGATAGATAATTCAATTCTCACGTACCATGAGGGTCTCAATGGGGATCGATAGGCGAAAAACGGCCAAAAATTTAGTCGATAGCCGTAAAAATTGAAAAATTTGAACCGTTAGCCGTAAATAGGGTAAAAAAGAGTTAACCGTTCAAGAAATTGTTCTCTAGATTTGTTAATTTTAAGGAAGGTGCTAAACTCACTTATGGCTGCCTTTTTATTTCCCGTACGCACGTTAGGCCAAGCGCCTTTTAGTTGTTGACCTAGACCTGAGCTCCATTTCCGCCGCTCTCTCCAAGAACCAAGTTTTTTCCAGAGCGAAAATCTGGCCTCTTGCTGGGGATTAATATTTGTGATTTTCAGGAGGTCGTGCCCTCGAAATACTAGTGAAACAACACGCAGAGATGTCACTGTTTGTAAAACACGTTGCCGATAAACAACAATTCCCCGTAACAATTCCCTGTTTTTCTCTGACGCTACGGTAGACATTGCCATGCCTAGTCCCTGTACGGCGTCTTCCCAAGCAATCTCGTTCAAGGCATTTCGGTGGCGTATCTGAGAAAAAAAGACTCGCTCGGACTGAGTGACCCGAAACGAATTAGCCGCGCGGAATAATGAGGCCAATGGACAAGGCAACGGCAGACAATCGTTCTATACAGTCCTTCGCTATCATTAAAAATACTGGACACGGGAATTTTGTTATTGGCCGTTTTCACACTATAGTTAGAAATGGATTGTCCGTCTGAGACTAGCCTGAGTAAAGTCGCCCCCTACCCCACAGACAACCCTTTTCCGATTTTTTCTAAGGTGGGGTTGTGGGGGAGGGGGGAAGGTCTGTACACAGACTATCTGAAATGAATAATCCATCTTCAAACTGTCCGTTAACATCTACGGATTAAGTCAGGCGGATTTTTCATTTAAAATTAAAACCACATCCATTTTCAAGTATCTGACGCGAATTATCAAACGAATAGCCCGTCTTACACGAATAATCCGTCTCTAGTGTGAAAATGGCCATTTCTGTTATAAATGAATGTCGCGCCCCGGCCTTAAGTTGAACGTTCGCGTGTCTGCTTTTGCTTTTTACACAGATTATTTTTAAGTTGACTATTGGCATTTCTATGCGTAAAATAATATCAGAAGTGAAATACTTTATAAAAAGTATGATCTATCAAATGTTTATTCTTCAAAGGAATGCGGCTTATTTCATCCCGAGATGATCCTAAGACCTTTATTTTTCTTTTGAAGAGAGAAAAAAATCAGGTCTATTAATATTTAACTCTTTGAAACAAAAGAAATTAATTTTTAACTTTTTGTTAACTGTACCTGAAAAAATTAACCGATAGCGGTAAAAAAGCCAAAATTTAAGCCGATAACCGTAAAAGCCACAACCCCATTGAGACCCTCTACCATGTGCTACCTTCCGAGCGAGAGGAGTTATGCAAGAAAGGAGAGCGAGTATTCCGAGTAAGGGATGGAAAGTATCGTTCAAGAGCGCATTCAAAAAGAGAGAAAAGAAAGCAAAATAAGGCATGGCAGAGGAGAAAATGGGAGGAAGGATTGAAGAATGAGAACTTTCGTGTACCAGAAAGAGAGGAGTTGGCACAAGAGGAGTAATATGATGAGAAAACTCGTGGACCAGAACTACAGAAGATGCCAGAAGAGGGAGAGGAGAATGAAAAGATTCGAGAATCAGAAAGTGAGAAGGTGGCAGAACCACTGCCCGCAAACAAGAGACGGATCGAGGCCAACAAATTATCTCCAGAGGCAAATACTTTTTCCAGAGGCAAGGTCATGGTCAATTTATCACATTCGAAGTTAAACGGAAAGGTCATACCGAAGAGAAACACGTGCCGGCCGCAAAAATTTCACGGAAACAAATCGAAGTTAGCTCCAGAAAAAATAGCATCGGCAAGAACGCAGATGCTCTCGCGTTTAAGGAGATCAATAGGCCTTTGCTGAAAGTGGATAAAAGCCAAAAAATTGGAAACTAAACCTGCAGGAACTACTACATCGCCCATACCGCAATGAATACCGCGTTGTTGCTAAAGAAATGAAAATAATTGAATCCCCAAAGAAGACAAGAGAGGAAGTGTGACGAGAAGCATCGGCAATTACTGGAATTGGAGACCACTGGGGAATCCCTCTTCTGTTTGGTGTTTGCACAGATCGGGCACCATTTTATCTGGTTCTCCAGTTCCAAGCTTTGCGTAGTAAAAGCGTAACACTTTTTAAGGCCGCTTCGGAAAAAGTTATTCAAGATGCTGCCATAATGTGCGCAAATATCTTAAAGCAAACATACGAAATACTAATATTCATCCATGAAAGAGGTTTCTTGCACAACGATCTGAAGAGCAATAATGTTGTCATTGACGGATCGGAAAACAAGCCCGTAATTATCGATTTTGGAAAAAGCTGCAAGGTTGTTAAAGCCAGGTTACGTAAACCCAAGGTGAACATTGAGAAATCGATGAACAAATTTCCGCACATCGCACCGGAAATACATCGCGGTGAAAGGCAGACCATCGCTAGCGACGTGTTTTCGTTTGGCTATCTGGTCACTCGTTTATTTAAAGACGCTAAGCTAGAAATTCCACCAGTCCTGAAGGAATGTCAGAGGTCAATCCCAGAAAAACGTCCTAAACTGGTCGACTTTTTCACCATCCTGACTAAATTATCATAAATGATTTTACTGTGCGCTCGATTGACCGTGTTCAGGAATAAGTTGCCTGATGTCTTTCAACCTTTTGTAATACGTCAATTGGAATAAGACTTACTGAAAAAATTATTGGCTTTCATTTACAATCTAGAATATGTTGAGAATTTATACTTGAGGCCAATGTTTCATCTAAGTAGTGCATAATTTTCGGTCGAAGAGATTTTTTCAAATTTCTGCCCGTCATTATTCCGGAATTCGATCAATCGAACGCTTTCTTATTGAGGTGGTCAAACGGGCATCTTTTTTTCTTGCACAAGCCTCATCATGATCACACCAAAAATCTACTTTCTTCAATACAAGGAGAAACCACTTTTCAAATCATTGCGGAAACTTAATGAACGTCGAAAATGGGTTACTCGATTAAAATTAAGCCTTGAAAGAAATTTCTTTCTCCGTCTAGTTCGGCCATTTTTATTAGGTTAGCCTTATAACTTCCCCTGTGCAAGGAGGGAAACTTCTCGTGCATCCTTCTTTTGTACTTTTTAGGAACTGTGTAACTTATGTAAATATGTGATATATTTTTAAACGCCTTTGCTACTGAAATTATGTGCATAACCAGCGAAGTTGTTGACTTAACTACTTTATAGATATATGTGTGATGATATTCACGCAATTCTGCAAGGAGACTGAGCGCTTTTTGAAATTTTCTTACATTTCTCCGGTTTTCGACAATCAGACGAAACCATTGCATGATACTTATTGTCGATTATGCTTATGCTTCCAACGTGACAGAAGTCGACCAAGGATTATTAATCTCACCTTGTTAACGCTTAGAGTTAAAGAGAGGGATGAAAGGAATCTAATTAAAATTGAAAGTGTCGACAGCTGATGAACATGTTTCAGGGTCTCTTTGTAAGCTTGATCCTTAGTCCAAAACGATAGGAGTTGACAGCTTACCTAATTATAATCCCCACAAATATTCCGTGAATACTTGAATTTAGTAATTTTAGCAAAAACTGCGATTTCTCCAATTTTTCGCAATTTTTGCTACTGCGTGCAAACTTGGACATATCTCTTATCTGTAACAAATATTTTAGGCATTAGGAGCTTGGTCACCGGCTCCTATATGTACCAGTAGGACTAAAAGACGGTTATGCCTGACGTAGGCCTTGCACAAGGAAGTAACAGTTTAATTCTGTAATTTAACCGTATGTCTTTTCCAGCGCATGAGGATTAGCACAATAATACTTTTACTTATAAGATTTAAAATTGGCAATGATAAAAAAAAAGAAATTAAAATACGTATTACCCACAACTGTTTGTTTTTTACTGATTTGTACTGGAGCCATAATCGGAGTAGAAATCGCAAGCGCCGGGTCCACGCGGTTCCATGGCTAATTGCGCTATTTTTAGGAAGAATTGAGCCACTCTCAACGTTATTAACTCGCGCGGGGACCCGCAAATTTGACAGGCTGCCGCATGGAGTTTCAGGAGATGGGCGATCTTCTTGTAACTTTTCTTAAGTGATCTTTCAACTTTCCAAGTGCTTCATATCTCATGTGTAATATACACCTATGTCATATCTATTATTAAATATATATTATCCGTATTTTTCCATCCACATAAGAAGAGAAATCCACAACATCTTTGCTACGCATCAAGCGTTGCTTTTCTTATTTAAACAAAAACACTTCTATTTATTTTAACTATCTCCTCGCAGCTCATTTGGGCTGTATTATTTAAGAATTTCCTTCGTTATTTCTTAAATTTTTCGTGATCTCGAAAACTAACGAAAAACGGCAATACCTTAGATAGAAATATGTACACGATGTATCTCTTGATGTGGCTTAAAAAATCATGAAGAGGAATAAAAGGAATAAAATATTTATGCATGGCATTATACTCAGAAATGGAATGACTGTGTAGTTGTTTGTAGGCTCCTCTCTTTCTTCAGTGCCAGTAAAAAAGCAGAAACATCTTCATCAACTAATTGCATTTGCCATTATTTTTTGTCGCTGGTGGCGGTAATTTTTCACCCTCCTTTCCCTGATTTTTTTTTCACTCGGACGGGATATTCTTTGGACGTCATCTCCGACATCTCTTCATTATTAGATTTATCAAAAGCACTTTTACTACAATGTTTACAATAACCGGAATCACGTCCATAATCATTACATTTATAATCAGTTTCAAGAAGGGACAATGACGACAAAAGGCAATTTATTCATGTCCCTTAAAGGTAATTTTTGATGCCAGTTTGTGTATTCTTTGCACGGCGTTCTAACAAAAATTATATTGCGCTCGTGTGTCACACGGGATGGCGCAATTTGTATTAAAAATGGCGCATTTGACTATTTTGATGGAACCAACCCTATTACTGGAAAACGGGTCAGCTACAGTGTCCTACACCGCTTTCGGGTGATGTTGGTATCTTAATGTTGCTTGTATGCTAGCCGCATACTCGTACCGAATCGTATGTATACGTGGTTGAACAAGCCTAGTGTTTTAGTCTTGAACATTACCAACAAACAGAGAATAACACTTACAACTCTCTTAGTTCAGATAGATCGGAGAAGATCCCAGGTGGAAGCTGCTCAATTTTGTTGGTGTGCATCACCCTGCAAGAATGAGTTAGTTAGCGTATCTTCATGACACAAATGATTCATGAGATAAAGCACTCTCATCAAAATCCATTTTAAACCTGGATTCAATTTAATAAAACGCTTAATTTACAAATGTAGCCATTGTTTTAGAGTCTGAAAACAGTAGCTACACTTGTAAATTACACTATTCGTTTTAGACGTTCTGCCAAATTGACCCCTGGTCATCGCTTGCAGCTGACCTCTGTTTGTACTGGTAACATGGTCACACTGGTCATTAATAAAGAAAACTAAATCAATGATGCTCTATATACTATTTTGCATGCACCTACTACTTTCTCGCCCTCTGGTAAGCTACAATCTCAAACAAAAGCCTTGAAACACTTTGGAAAATTCTGCTTCCTTGGTTTCCCCCTCCTCCTTCCTTTTGCAATAATATTGTAGCCACGTAACATTGCAATCACATCTCAACATTGCAGAGGTGTTTGAAGGACTTTTGGCGAGGATTGTAGATGCGTTATAATTTTAGTATAACATAATGCATGACTGACAATTAAAAGATACATAATTATCAAAAACGACAAAAATAGTATCGTTCGTTGACACAATTTATTTATTGTGAAGTTTTCTTTGCCACAATGCCTGTATAGGATATGCTGCCAATAACATGTCATTAATTAAGAACACGAGGTTGGTTTTTATTACAATCTTTTAATAGGGCAAGACGCAAGTGTTCATTGTCCGCATCAACGGTTGTCCGTATTTAGTCTGTTAGGTTTAGAGAAAATGTGAGGTCTTTACCCGCGGGGCCAAGGGAAAATGTCAATAATAATTAACAAGGTGACCGTGTTAAGTGTAGCTGCTCGTAAAGAGGAGTTCAAGAAACGAACGGTAGCGGAAAAAGATCGAGGCTATCGCATTGTGGGAGCCTTTGTTAAAATTTAAATTCTAACAAACGAGCTAATATTCCACTTTGGCGACCGGAGACTTGCGAATTTAGAAAACAATGTATTTTGCAGTTCAGTCAATCTCCTGTCGACCCTCTTGATGAAGCAACCATCGGAGGCACATGTGCCTGTGTTCAAACCTATGTCCCTTATAAGGGTTTCACTGCATGCGGCTCTCTCGACCCAAATAAATAGTGCTATGTACTCACAAAAGAGTGGTGTGGTATAAGACTGGCTGATTTTGCGAAAACGAAGCTATTCTGGATTTCACTCATGAAACTTGGCGCCTCTGTATTGCTATCTAAGCTACGATAGCCTTTTACACAGGAAAATTAGGCATTGACGCAAAGATTACGAGCGTATTTGCCCCAGATTTTTGAAAAACGCAAGAAAGAATTACTTAAAAATCTACGCGAAAATTGCTGCTAGCCACGCAAGCTAAGCGAAGCAATGCTTCTGGAAAACGTTCACTAATTGACATTTAGTGTCTCTTGTGACTTAAAAGGTGGCATAAAGAGCAAACGAATAATTAAAAAAGCGACCCCTGAAGCAATGTCTGCGACACCCAAGCTTGCGAAATGTGTTCTTTAGTTACACGTAATAATTGGCCAAAGGCGATTTGAAATCACCGTAAGCTCACTTGTATAAAGTTTTTTTGTAGCTCTAAGACCGTCATGTTGGCCCGTCTTCTCCTTCGTGAGCATTTTCATATTTTAGGATCGTATTTTTTACCTCCCCTTGACAGTCAAACCATTCCACTACGAGCGTTTCCTTAATTTACGGATACGAGATCTCCCTTTCAAGTTAGGCCACCTCCAAGACCTGCCCTGTTATGTCCTCCCAGGGCATTTCCAGACAAAATTTGATGACAAGACTGGATACCAACACCTCAAGATTCAACCGGACTCCCAGGAATTCTTCAGTTTTTCCTGGAGAGGCTATTATTTTTCTTTCTGCACGTTACCTTTCGGATTGAGAGCAATAGTCTATTTATATCATAACGTTGGCCCTGTCGTCACCGGTATCGCGCGATCTTTAAGCTTACCTGTTTCGCAGTATATTGATGACAGACATGTGGGCCAGTTATTCCTATCCGGCCTAGCGGTTTGCCAGCCTAGCCGCCAACTCGCACAAGCAGGCTTTATCTTGGTATTCCTTCTGATTTCAGCGGGATACTTTATTAACCTTGCAAAGAGTTCTCCACAGCCATCCACTTTTGTTAAATTCCTGTGTTTCATCTCCGATTCTGTATTGCAAGCCTTTTTTATAGTCCCACTAGATAAAAAGGGAAAATCGAAAACGTTGCGTGAGGAACTCTTGGGGTCATCTTTTGCGCCTGAACTGGAGCTTGCAGCGTTTCGCAGGAAAAGCACTATCAGTTAGTCTTGCAATCCCGGCTTGTAAGCGGTATGTACGGGAGGTGTTCAAATCTATCAGCGCTGTTGCCAAGAATTCGAAGATTTCTGTTCCAATTCAAGGACCCTTGCGACAGGAACTTCGGGAATGGACTGTCTTGGACAACTGGTCTGGTCACTTACCTTGGAACTCGGAACATCATCTCTCTATCACAATGTTCAGCGACGTCTCCCAGATGGCCCAGAGATCAGTCTTGGTAAAAGATGGTCTAAGCCAGCAAATACGAGATTATTGGATCAACCTTGAAGGTGATATCAATGCCCTTGAGCCCAGGGCTTTATGTAATTAACACTTTGATCTCCTTTTCCCCTTCTATCAGAAACGCAAGAATCAGTGTGTGGTCAAACAACGTGACTCTCCCAGAAGCCTGGGAAAATGGCGGTTGTAGGAGTCCTCTAGAGAAGAAGGAATTAAAAAATATAGAAGAAATGTCTCGAGCTGAAAACTTTGTTTTGCATTTGAAATATGTCCCATCGAATGAAAACAGTGCTGACGCGCCCTCCCGTACTTTGTTTGACATTGATTGTTTCTTGTCCGAGGAGGCGTGGGCCCGAGTTTCAAGCGAGCTTTGGACCACAGACGTTTAACTTGATGTCTTTGGACAGCAACTGTTGCAGAGGAAGGAATAGAAGCCTGTTGCCTCATGACACACCTTAGCCGACTCCGTATTCTTCAGGAGTTAATGTTTTCGCACAAACAATACAGATGGAACATAACGTCTATGTCTTTCCTCCTGTCGTTCTCGTGGGACCTTTGTTGGGGGTATTTTTTTTAATCAACGCCGGTGTTTCGGTTATACTGTCATTGTCCCTCGTTTACAACGGTATCGTTATTGGTTGGCAATACTCCAAGCTATGGCAGTAGATTCTTTTCTTATTCGTAGGAAAGGTGATCCGGCCGTACTGCTTTTCCCTTCTCGCACCTCCCCGGATTTCATTGCTAGGCCTTACCATGGGATCTGTGCGCTTTTCGTTGTATCTGCTCCTGGTAAGCTGTGTATATAGATCGAACGCACATGGAAGCCTGCCTACAGATGTCCCGCCTGCTCTTATCCAAACGACAGTGACGTGAACTTTTGCCAAGGCTGCGGTAAACCTAAGTCGCCTGAGCCAACACAAGGGGCCCGTTCAAATGCAGACATGCCGCTGATCAACTTGTAAACGCTTTACAGAATTCCAAGAATCGCTCAGAAACAAACCTTATGAACGGCAAAAGGATTCATTAGAAGTTCAGCTATCGAGTTTCTTACGCTCTCTTGTACCCCCAAAGAAATTTTCTGCTGCGATTGCGAAGGACATCGTAAAGTTTTTGATTAGAATGGATGTCGCGGGAAAACAAACACTCCATGTACGCTCATGCTCTAGTAAGACCTGTAGTTGCCCTAAGCGTCTAGCGGCCGGAACTGTCGATTCATATATAGGGAAGCTTAGAGCGATTTTCAATAGGCTAGGCCTACAGGGTTTTCTAACCCGTTGGCACATCCTTGTGTTAAAGAATGTCTTAAGTTTGTAAGAGAGGAGCAAGCTCAGCGAGCTTTGTAACCTCGTCAGGCTGTCCCTTTGTTCTATGACAAATTCATCCGTTTAATTGCCTATCTTCGCGGGCTTATTGCCGAAGGCTCTGTGCTTTCTCCTCTCAATAGATACCTCCTTGTCGGAGATATAACATTCTTTGTTACAGACTTTTACACCGGCGATAGAGCATCCGATTTGGGCCGTTTAAAGGCAGATGAGCTTTTTCGCCTTAAGGATAGTGAGGGGTTCCTTCTTAACTTAACGTTTAGTAAAACGAGGTATGCAGGTCAGTTACGCCCCTTTGCTCTGTTAGGTATACCAAATGTATCTGTCTGCCTGGTTTTTTGGTTGAACTATTATATTGCCGGATGTGGGGCGTTAGGTGTCCCTCCTCTGGGTGAGAAACTCTTTAGATCCTCGGAACACAAAAAGTTTGTGTCACATCGTCCGTTTGGAGGGTCAGCCGTATCTGCACGACTCTAAAAGTATCTCACGGAGAGACCCCTCACAGCTTTTGTGGGTTGGCGGAGCACAGAAATTGCCTTTTACTACACGCGCCGCTCCAGTGCTTCTACTTCTTTGCAGTTGATAGAACGGGTTACACTCAATGTCACTTCTGTGGGCTCTCCACACGTCCTGCAACTCTCCGACCAAGAGAATTTGCAGAGAATTTCGTATAGTTGAATTGTATCTTTCATGACTTAGGGACATTCATTCTAGTACACTAGCTAGGGTGGTTATTTGTGTCATTTCTATTGGATATTAACTTGTTGTTAGTTAATAACTGAATCTTTATTGATTTATGGAGTATTGGGTGTTGAGTGTTGGGTATTGAAATTATAAGGTCTATGTGCTTTTTCGGGAAGGACGGAGACCTAGGTTATAGCAGACTACCTCAGGGAATGGCAAGGAGCGGATCTCTCTCCCATAACTTAGTTCCACGATGTGTTAAGTGTTAAGTTTTCAATTTTACATTTGTCCTCAACTTAGTCTTTCTCGGTCTCTTCCTGCCTGCTAAATGCTCAACATAGTACTACGTCCTTACTGTTTACCACTTAACACATCGTAAAACTAAGTTATGGGAGAGAGATCCGCGGATTGTTGCGGAAAGAGGTAAGCCACAATTGCAAGATGTGACGAGTTGTCAACCAACACCAGGGGAGGAAGGTGGGGCGAACCTTGATAAGTCGTCTCGGCGGTCGGAACTGTGACACAGTGAAAGCAAAGCCACGTGGTGTATTGTATTTCTAAGGGGAGCCTGCAGTTCACTGATGCGTCCCTAAGCACGGAGCTGAGAGGTATTTTACTAGTCGTTTCACGATGCGTCAATTAATTATTCAGTGAAAATAGTCTAGGAATGACAATTATGTGTTGCGAGAGAGCGATAAAAAACATGGTTGGTCTTTGAATACAAAGTTAGGGCACAGGCAGGAGTATTACACTTAACCACTGATTTTTATCAAATGTTTCAAACTGTAGAGAATGTAAATTTTATTAGTAAAGGGGAACATGCAGGCTTTCTTTTTTGTTAATATTTAGAAAGTTCATGCGGCATTTAACAAGAGAAGATTTCCTTAGCTTTAATTTAGGGGCCAATGTGAATGATTATATATTGCCTGGTTTGAATCTGATATCTAAAAGCTGGTGTGGCGATGGAACCTTTGCTGGGCACGCTTTTCCCTTCCAAAGCTACGAAACGATTTTGGTGGTCTTTTCGTATTTCCTATGGTTTACAGTAAGGATGATAATGAAGTTTACACCGTAGAGAAAGTATTAAGGAGAGCAGGGGCAGGGTTGCCTTTAATTAATCTCCTTTTTTTATTTTATGGAAAGTAAACACAAAATTAAAGAATTTGCTTTGTACAGGGAGGCTTTTACAAGAAAAATGGAAAGATATTATAATTGATTAATTGCAGTTTAGTGAAATAAATCCACATTATGATATTGTCTTTGGAGGTTGATTAACATACCTTACAAAAAAATCAATCAGTTTTACATCCATGATATCCCGCAAGGAAACACCCCTTACTGATTTTACAAGCACCCTTCCAGGAACAATTGTCGTACAAGTGCAATGTCCTTCTACAGGAATCCAAAGTAAGAAACAATTACCTGACAGGACTAGCGCACAGCAGGCAGTTTTCAAGAAGGACATGGTTATCATCTACCAGAAAAGCCCGGAATATTTCACTCTGCCCCTGATGACAATGACAGACCTTGTAGCTGCTAGCCAGCCCAGACCCACGCGGTAGTGTAATTTTTGCGCCCTTTTGGGGTCAGGTGACCAAGCTGTTAGTTTTAAGTTGCATGATTGTTAGCTCGGCGGTCAAGATTACTTCGCTCGCTAGTTCAGCGATGGATTTTGGTTTTTCAGGACAAATTTATAATAGGTTCACAAGGTATTAGTCTTTCTTTTCGTTTCCTCTTTTATTTAGTTTATTATTTCGCCTGTTGTAATTTTCTAGTTAAGTTTGTATTCGTATTTGTTTACTTAGTACATTTCTCGTCGCATGTAATTAAGATCTTTCAATTGTATTTTCCTTTCTAGTTTTACGCAACCCAGGCGGGGGGGAAGGTGTCTCGAAGGAAATCTGTGGTACAGTCCGCCTGCCAGTATGACGTCACGTCTCGCGTCAGTAACTCTCAAAATGGCGAGCAAAGTGTTCATCGAAGAGACGGATAAAATTTCGATTTTATTACACTGTTCCAGTTTCTTGGATTTGGAGATTTTAAGGTTTCTATTGACATAGACAACTAGACTTAAGTATTTCCTTGAAATGAAATGTCCAGTGTCCGGTCACACTTTTGAGGGCTAGTGCACAGCAAGATTGAGGAGTTTAGACACAGCAATAGGAGGTTCATCAAAGGATGTATTATACTTTACATTGTACGTATTTTCAGCTCGTCAGAGCTAGTGGAATCTCATATCATTCCTCTAAAAGTTCGCTCAGCTGTAGCGTTGAAAGAGGAAGCTAAATGACAGGTATTTTTGAGAGACTGTGAGCATTGAATCTTGTTGCTTTACCGCATTTTAATACTGTATAGGGCATACACCTGTAATTCTGTAATTAAATCCCGAAAACCAATAAAAGGTTTCGTTTAACTATTTCTTGGGGCAAACCCAGTGGAAATTTTGGGGTAATAATATTAATTATAGTTAGACGATGTACAAAAGGCAAGCTACAATGGGTTAAAGACCAATTTATGTCCTCATAAATTTAAGTTAATGGGACAACCATGAGAGATTACGTGCCGGTTGTGTGACATGCTTTAAGGTAGGGGGTAGGGTTTCACAGTCCAAAGTTTAGCGTGATCACATGCATTTGTAACGCAAACTGTTCGCTGAGCCAATCAGAATCGGCTGGTATTTCACTGTCAATCAATCCTCAGACATCGAGCACGAGTTGTGTGTTCATTCATTCATTCGCTGCGAGCTAGCAACTGTATTTGTCTTGTTCTACAATGTGTTTTCGCAGCCGTTCAATTTGCTTTTTCGCTCGCTTCTGAGACGGTTTCCCTATCCTGTGAGGCGATCCTGTGAGGTGTTTTCAAGTTGCAAATCATGCCGCCACGAGCACGCCGGTCGACTTCCCGCCCAGGCGCACAACCGAATATCGACCCGACCGTGCTTGGAGCCCTATCCATCGCCGACCTTCGCTCTCTTTGTGTTCAACATGGGATTCCGTCGACAGGAGTCAAAAAGACTCTCGAACGCCGGCTCCGGGACCTGAACAATCCACCACCAATTCAGGTTCAAGACATTAATGAACACGAACCAGCAAATCCAAACAACGACGAAACGGCGGCACACAGGCAAGAGCGCCCTGAGTTTACAGACGGCCAGATGCAGACGATTCAACGATTAATTGCGGACACTGTGAAACAATCCGCCAGGGAGATAGCGACCGAAGCGGCTAGGGCCGCTGTGAGTGCTTCGTCGAGCCTCCTTGCCCAAAGGCCCCCTTCGCTGGTGCGTGAAACAGCGCCCGACACGACAGCTCCCACGAACACTGCGGCGGTAAACTTCGCATCGCCATTCCAAGACATCCCAGGGCAGTATATCAAAGACATCCAATGTGGTGAGTTTTTTGATCTTTCCAAACTACTTCCTAAGAACCTGTCGCTGCACGACGAGGAGGATAATCTTGTCCTCTCCTTAGAGAACTCCGTCGTTAAGGTGTCGAAGAAATCGAAGCAGACGGCCTCCACCTCTATTACCGATATTGAACAGTGGACCACTGCTTTTACGTCCTATATGAGTGTACTAATCGACAAGTTCCCAACACGATCGCAGGAACTCTTGCAATATGTTAGTTTAATTAGATACGCAGCCCGTGTGCACAAAGGGTTAGGATGGGCCATTTATGACTTTAAGTTTCGCCAGAAAGCTAGCGTCAATAAGTCTATTAATTGGTCAGTGGTTGACACTCAGCTTTGGTTAACCATTTTCACCGTGTCACCAGCGATACTCAAAGAAGAGTATCCGCTTTTTTCAAATGGACCCCAGCGAAATGTGTCTACAACAGGGGATGCGAACAGAGGCACATGCAACTTTTACAATAGGAGTGGCACATGTAATAGAGACCCTGCTATTTCAGACATGTGTGTAACAGATGTAGTGGATTACACCCAAGGGTTGACTGCCCGGCCCACCCTGTGCGGCAACCAGAGCGGGAAGGGGAGGCATAGAGAAAGTGACCATGGTGGAAGCTCAAAGTCAAGTTCCTCTCATCGAAAGTGAGAACACTACTTGCCCCTCCCGACCCCTATTAATGTACAACGACTTGAGGAAACATTGACTAATCATCCTGATCGGGAATTTGTCTCGAAATTGTGTAACAATCTTAGGTATGGGGCCGATGTGGGTTTTACTGGGAGACGTGTTGCTAGATTTTCTAGGAATCTGCCCACTGCCCTTTCCCAACCAAATATTGTTTCAGAAAACCTTTCCAGGGAAGTGGCCCTGGGGCGAGTTGCAGGTCCTTTCCCCACCCCACCACTGCCCAATTTCCAGGTGTCACCCATCGGATTGGTCCCCAAAAAACATTCTACGAAGTTTAGGACCATCTTTCACTTATCTTTCCCAAAATCTGGAGCGACAAGTATCAACTCTTCAATCCCCAAGGAGGATTTCAGCCTTCAGTATATAACAATCGACAATGCAATCCACGGGATTTTGAGCCTCGGGCAAGGGTGCTTTCTTGCGAAGACCGATATCGAGTCAGCGTTCCGCCTCATCCCTCTTAGGCCTTCAGATTATGAGCTCTTCGGCATGTATTGGGAGGGTAGCTACTACTATGACAAAGTTCTTCCCTTTGGCTTGAGGAGTGCCCCTTTCCTGTTCAATTTACTGTCCGATGCAATAGAGTGGATCCTCCTCAATCAATGCCAGGTTTCGTTTGTTTGTCATATCCTCGATGATTTTTTAATCATCGAACCAGCATTATCCTCTCCCCCTCTAAATTTGCTATGCCAGCAGAGCTTGAATAGCATGCTCTTGACCTTTAGGAATCTGGGTATCCCCATTGCAGCCAACAAAACAGAGGGCCCCTCTACTACCCTTGAGTTCATGGGAATTATCCTGGACACCGTCCGGATGGAGGCGAGACTCCCAGCAGATAAGGTGGAACGGATACAGGCCTCCCTTGCCCTCTTTCAAACAAAAAGGACATGCACCCTAAAGGAGTTACAGTCACTCATTGGGACTTTAAACTTTGCATGCAAAGTTATTCCCCCTGGGAGGCCCTTTCTTCAGCGCATGATTGAGCTCACTCGTAAAGTCGCTAAACCTCACCACCACATTAAATTAAGCCAGGGTTTCTTCAAGGATCTCACTATGTGGCAACAGTTTATCCACACCTGGAATGGGGCCGGGTTTTTCCTCCCTACTTCATGGCTAGACTCCGACTCCTTAGAACTCCATACCGATGCCTCAGGCACACTTGGGTACGGTGGGATATTAGGTCAGAAATGGTTTCAGGGTAGGTGGAGACTCACCACCTGCTCAATGCTCCTGGTATAAGCATTGCCTGGCAAGAGTTATTTGCTTTGGTGGTAGCATGCCACCTATGGGGGGATGAGTTTGCCAATAAGCGTATCGTTTTCTATTGCGACAACCAATCGGTTGTCAATATAGTAAACTCCAAACGATCCCACATTCCTAGGGTTATGGATCTGGTTCGCCATTTTACCCTCTTGACTTTAAGACATAACTTCTATCCAAGGGCGGAACATATTGAAGGCAAGAAAAATGACATCGCGGATTCCCTCTCTCGATTTCAGATGGAGCGTTTTCGCAGCCTGGCCCCTCATGCAGACCCAGCCCCATGTCCTGTACCCCCAACAATGTTGGTGATCTGAATGCCGACATCCAGAAGTACTTACGTCTCTCTGTTGCTGCCTCTACTAAACAAACATATACCTCTGGTGAACGTAGATTTTTGGACTTTTGCACCCTCCACAGCCCACACAGGTCAACTTATTTGCCCACCAATGAAGAGACTCTAATTCAGTATGTTGCATATTTAGCCAAAACAATTAAACACTCATCCATCAAGGGTTACCTGGCTGCAGTTAGACACCTGCATATCCGCTCAGGCTATGACCTGGACCTTAAGAAATTCTTGCGCCTGCAGTTGATTTGCCGCGGCATCAAGCGTTCCCAGGGCGATTCTACCCGCATTCGACTCCCTATTACAATAAACCACCTCAAATTGTTCTTCCAACTTCTTGCAATCCCAACCTCCCCTAGTTATGACTCCATTATGGTATGGGCAGCCATGACCTTAGCCTTTTTTGGTTTCCTCCGCCTGGGAGAAATGACCTGCAACTCACCCTATTCATCTACACGCCACTTGTCTCCAGGGGATGTGACCTTTTTCCCCAGTATTCAGAACCCTGACCATATGTCAGTTAGGATAAAAATATCCAAAACTGACCCATTTCGTTCGGGTCAGACTATTGTTATTGGAAAGACTGACCAGAGGGTCTGCCCTGTTTTGGCTATGACAAATTATTTGTCCTACCGGGGGACCACACTAGGCCCACTTTTTCAGTACTTGTCGGGTGCTCCCCTCACAAAAGCGGGACTTACCTCCGAAACTAGGCAGCTTCTCTCTATGTCAGGTTTTCAGCCCTCTCAGTATGCGGGACATAGCTACCGAATTGGGGCTGCCACAACCTCGGCTTCTGTGGGCCTACCCCCTTGGCTAATAAAAACACTGGGGCGGTGGTCCTCTGACTGCTATGAAAGATATGTTCAGTGCCCACCTTCCCTTCTTTCTGGGGTTTCCTGTCAGCTGTTAGGTGATACCTTAAATTAGTTAATTCATTACTTATTCTAGGGGTCAGGGTTGTTTCGTCTATGGGGAATACACTTTGTGTATTTGTGGGGATGAAGTGCTCCCTTACAGGCACTCTTGGCCCCATAGACTCACAGAATTGATGGGTTACCATGGTAACCATGAGTCTAAACTCCCTTAGCCATAGGACTAGGAACCTCTTTCAGGGTATTGTGACCTGCAGCCCTGAGGGGGAGTAGGGACCTTTTCAGGGTATTGTGACCTGCAGCCCTGAGGGGGAGTAGGGACCTTTTCAGGGTATTGTGACCTGCAGCCCTGAAAGGGAGTAAGGACCTCTTTCGGGGTATTGTGACTGCAGCCCCGAAGAGGATTAGGAACCTCTCCCAGGGGTTTGTGACCTGCATCCCCGGAGAGGAGGGGGCTTTGACCCCCCTTACCAAGCCAGATTAGTGATTTATCTATTGATGGCATTTAGTTCCACCGGCCTGCTATTGAGTACTTCATTCCCAACCCCTTACCCCACATATTGTTGTTGTGTTCTTATTTCTCATGGGTTGGGAGCATTAAAGACCAATTTATGTCCTCATAAATTTAAGTTAATGGGACAACCATGAGAGATTACGTGCCGGTTGTGTGACATGCTTTAAGGTAGGGGTAGGGTTTCACAGTCCAAAGTTTAGCGTGATCACATGCATTTGTAACGCAAACTGTTCGCTGAGCCAATCAGAATCGGCTGGTATTTCACTGTCAATCAATCCTCAGACATCGAGCACGAGTTGTGTGTTCATTCATTCATTCGCTGCGAGCTAGCAACTGTATTTGTCTTGTTCTACAATGTGTTTTTCCCTCCCTCCCACCCTATGGTTTAAGCATGTCACACCCAAATTAACACTAGTATTACACAATGCTTATGAATTTGCGAATAGTTGTAATATATCTTACTTAAGCTGTTAAGCTGGGCCTTTGGCCCCCATGTTAGGGATCATTGACTAGCTTTCCTATGTACAGCCACTGTTCATGTTTCTAATTTTCAGATTCACAGCAATATGTATTGATATCTCTTTATACAAAAAACGTTACAGTTATGAGCTATTTTTTGTTACTGTTAGCAACCAGTGCTGTTGGTATTAATTTTATGCAGTTTACATGCATCAAAGACACTGAATGAACTGTTTAGCCTTGTCTAATCCCAAGGACTACATAATTGTAGTAATGAGTTAGTCTACAATTTTGATCTGTCTAATTAAAATACAGAAATAAACTTTGGGTTGGGATGAAGTGCTCCCTTACAGGCACTCTTGGCCCCATAGACTCACAGAATTGATGGGTTACCATGGTAACCATGAGTCTAAACTCCCTTAGCCATAGGACTAGGAACCTCTTTCAGGGTATTGTGACCTGCAGCCCTGAGGGGGAGTAGGGACCTTTTCAGGGTATTGTGACCTGCAGCCCTGAGGGGAGTAGGGACCTTTTCAGGGTATTGTGACCTGCAGCCCTGAAAGGGAGTAAGGACCTCTTTCGGGGTATTGTGACTGCAGCCCCGAAGAGGATTAGGAACCTCTCCCAGGGGTTTGTGACCTGCATCCCCGGAGAGGAGGGGGCTTTGACCCCCCTTACCAAGCCAGATTAGTGATTTATCTATTGATGGCATTTAGTTCCACCGGCCTGCTATTGGAGTACTTCATTCCCAACCCCTTACCCCACATATTGTTGTTGTGTTCTTATTTCTCATGGGTTGGGAGCATTAACTTTCGCCAGTGGGTCACTGGTGGGTGTTGGGTGTAAATTAGTCACAGTTTGTGGTGTACTGAGTGTTGTTTGTCATGATGTCAACTAACATTGAAAAAAAATGAGCTGTTTCAGAGCAGGGACATGTCGTGACAGCTTATGGTTTTTTTCTGGTCGTAAGCTTGGCCAGTATGCAGGTCAAGAGCTTTTGAAATCCCTTTTCCAAAATATAACTCCGGATTTAAGCTTAAAATACATCTTGATCCAAGTGCATGACAGGCAGGGTCAGCAGTAAGAATAAAGAAAAAAAGGCCAAAAGGAAAAATAGTGTTTCAAAAAAGAGACCACTAACAGAAAAACAAAACGGTACAAAGAAACAGAAACAGCGTCGCCGGGAGTCAAACCCGGTTTATCTGCACGTTCAAGCAACCCTTCGACCACTGAACCACAGTGACACACATGATTTGAAACATTAAGTTTGTCATATCAAAACAATTTTTCTCTGCCATAGACGATGTTTGAAGCTGGTGGAGCTGTATTTATCATGATTTCAAATATACATTTCAGTAAATTAAGCGCGTGTTTCAAAGCCATTTCGCATTGTTTCGGGTTCAACGGGCCGACTCGATGTAGATAATCGATCGAACTAGCTATACTGAATTTGGTGGAGAATTAGGAGATCAGCAGAGGCCCACACTCGAAAGGAATGATATGAAGTTAGGCCGGTTTCAGGGGCACCCAACGAGAATATAGTTCAAAACCACTTAAACATAGCATTGTTAAACGTATTTTAATATTTAAACGGTAGATATAGGCATATTTCTGTCCCCTAAAAATTTTCATCTGTTCGGATTTTCTAGCTGCAAGTCTAGTGAACCGAAAATTATAGGAATCAAAACTTACCTTTTCGAAAATTTTAGCCAGAAAAAAGGCTAACGAAAATTCTAGGTGACCTTCTTAGGGCAAAAATCCGTTAAAAATGGGCAATTATACCATTATTTAGATGTTCGAAAATCCTAGGAGAGGCAGTCAAGCAAGAAATTTTACAATAAATGTTCCGAAAATTCTAGATCTCAAATGGTCTTCCGAACAGATATTTTCCGAAAATTGACGTTGGATGCCCCTGCCGTTTCATTAGCCAAAGAATAGATGAAATATAAACATGTGTGATCTGTGAATGGAACCTCCTATAGTGGAGACTAGACCTTGCCTATCTTAGAGAGAAAAAAATATTTAAGTTTTGATGACCTTGCCGATTCCGTGAAATAGATGGCGATCCCGCAACACGGCCCGCAAAACAAATTAACAAAATTATACAATCACGGACACAAAATATCAAAACGGTTTACACAAGCTGATTATAGCAACACCAACGCTCACACACAGTCGATCAAATAAGCGATATATAGCGATATTTGCAAGCTTCTTAGCTTTTCCTCGACCTCGCTCGTCCAAATAACTGTCGTATCCCTTGCTAATTTGCACGAGCGACCCGAGGCTCTTGTCCGTTACTATGTGACGTCATACTAGCGGGCGGAGTAGGTCAAGAAACTTAGAAGGAAAACAATACAGTTACCTTCCCCCTCCCCCCCCCTCGCTGCGTCAACCTTCTCTACTTGTCAGTAAAACAACAGCCGTTTTCAGTGTTAGAATTCACCGCGTTTGAGTTGTTGTCTCAATGTGGTTATAGACCTTCTTAGCAGACTATAACTTTTAAATTACCGTCAGTCTATGTTCCTGTTAACATTAGTGAGCTCAATAGAACTTAATTACAATGTATTAGTTATTTCTCAATTTAGTTGTTATATAACGTAGCCTGCGTAGCTGGCAGTATTGTGTGAGTGCGAGATTAAAGTTTTGTCGGCGAAGCCGTGTTCCAAAAAAAGGGAGTAGGGACGAGGCGGTTGAAATACCGCCTGCGAGAAAACCCCGGTATTTTGAATATTCCGCACACCAGTGTGCGGAGAAACGGATTGGTCGAGGGCCATATATATGTCAATCATGTTAGATGATCCTTCCCATATATTTCCCAGTTAAGGGAGCAGATGGCAAACTGGAAAAGACGTAAGTGATCGTGGTTTCCCCTTTAAAAAGAACACAATTGATGACCAAATTGCCGAAACCTCTGTCCAAGCAAACTCACAAGGTCACGTTTCACATTATCACGAGCTTAGGAGTCATGTTTAGCCTGTCAACCCTTATTTCTAAACTGTCTCGCGCGAAAATAATTGGAAGTTTCAAATTGCAGGTTTCTCTTTGATTGACAGATTTAATTGGGATCTGCCAAGGTGACAAAAGTGGGCGGCATTCGAAAAATCATGGTTCTCTGGCAGGCGGTATTTCTCGCGGCTTTGCCGCTCGTGACGGGTACGCCGTCAAATCTCACTCGACTATATTACAACCGCTCCGCCGCCAAATCTCACCCAACTACTACTATACAATACTGCCCGCTACGCAGGCTATATATAACGTTGCTAAATGAGTATTTACTACATAGTTAATGCTACACATTTATATTGAAAAAAATCGAACCTATTTGCGGCTATTTGTCCTGCAGCTACACGTAGTTTACCTTAATGAACTAATGTGTGGTTATTTAACTACAGTGGTGTGGTTATTGCACTGTTGTGTAGTTATTGAACTAACGAAAAAGCTTACATTGAATCCGTAAGCTGGGCTATTCTGGTATATGGCAACCATATCCTTCCCAGAAACTGCCCGCTGTGCGCAAGTTCTGTCAGGCCATTGCCTCATGCTTTGAGTTTCTGTAGAAGAACATTGCACTTGTGCGACAGGTATCCTTTTAGGTTGCTTACAAAATCAGTTAGTGCTGTATCCGGGCAGGATTTCATGGTTTTAAAACTCTTACATTTTTTTTTGTGTGTGTTTTTGAGTTTTTTTTTTGTGGTTTTGATTTGTTTTTTTGTTGTAGTTGTTGTTTGGTTGTTTGTACGTTGTTGTTTTTGTTTTCCGTTTGGTTTAGGCCAACTTCTCTGACATCCCTTTAGTTTCTTGTAAAATAATAATAAACATTTATTAATTGATTGACACCTTTACAATTATTAACTTAACATAGAAATATTTAAGGAACTCAGTGCTGTTGATAGTTTAGCTGTCATTTAGTTTCCTTATTTTGTTCTATATCTCCTTTTCTGATAAAGAAAAACTTCCCATTGCCGTTCGTAAAGAAAAACATAACACTTGGACACATGGATTACTGTGACGTATCTCCTTGCCCGCGAAAGTGCCCGGCGGCTGCCGGTTACAGTTTAAACAAATTGCGCGTGATGTGCAATGTCGTAAGCCCTCAAGTAAAGACGACATAATGCGGCCGTCCTGATTCTGCTGTTATTGAAACTGCGATAAGTTTGACCTGTTTGTAACTGTGTTTATTCGTTTCGAAAAGAAAACTGTTGCTACCGTTCCAAAGCATCTCCTTTGTTGTTTTAATCTGTTACGTGTAGACCTTTTCGATATGGACAGGAAACAGGGCAGCTACCTTTCAAGTTAAAACAGGCGGGGATGTTGGAAGTTTTTGGACTTATAAGATACCGATTAACTATTCATTAAACATGGACTGGTGTTAGTCGATTTACGCACGTAGGGCCAGTTCGCAAAAGTCTCAAATGTATCCCATTTTCTTGGTAATTTTTATTGTTAATTAACATTGCAGTCACTAATATTTTCACTGGTTTTGTTGTAGCCAGTATAAGGAATCACACGAGCGACAATATATACGTTTGCATCGGCTAAAATTAAGTCATCATCCTTAGGTTGAAACGCCATCAAAATACTCAAAATTCATCTCGAATGATATTTTTCGTTAGTCTTAATCTGTTTTATTCGTGTGGAGTATAAAAGACGTTTATAATAGTTTTCAAACTATAATAAGCAAAATCCGTTTACCACTAACAGGATTCATGAGCACTTTCTCGTCTCCTGCTCCAATATTATAATATTTCAATAGTGAACGAAGAAGGGTATTTTACATGTGGCCGAGTAAAAGGAACTAAGAGCAACTAAAAGTTTAACTGTGCTACTTCGCTCAATTTGAGGCTTAGCAAAATAATATTTTTACTATTCGTAATTGGTAAATAATAGAAGAAAAGACTTTGTAAGGTGTACTACCAACATCTGTTCGTGTTGTACTGCTGGAGTAACCAGCTGGCCGCGAAATAAAGGTTACCCGTACGAAAACTTATAGAGTGTGGCCAGCATCTATGCAAATTTATTGGAACAAAAGAAAGCGTTTGCATAATAGTGGCAGCTAGTCTAGTCATCATCATCATCATGACTTTTACACGGTAAGAACAATCAGGCTAAACTCGCGCAGAATGCCTGGACATCATTAATTATTCATAGTCATCAAAGCGGCAAATTTGAATGCGAGCGCGCTTTGAATAGCCCAGAATTAGAAGAGAAAGGGCCCAAATTGGTCAAGTAGGGCTGGTAAAACATGCTTTTCTCTTTTTCCGAAGTTATAATCTTAACTTTCACGCACGGCTTTTTGGAAAGCAATGATGTATCAACACTTTAAGCCTTAAACTAAGGAATATAACGAAGTATAAAGACTGTTTTTTAAAACTCGAAAATTCGGAAAAATCGGTCGTTTTCAGTATGGACGCCACTTTTGACAGCGATTTTCTAAACATTTTCACCAGCTTTCATATTTTCACGCGCGGGAAAAGAAAGATGGGGCCTTTCTAGAACAGAATCCGTTAAAATTTTCAAAATCGGTAAACGAGAACCACTGTTCTTTTCGATTTGAAAACTGCTAGTGGTTGCTGAGTTTTAAAATGGCGCACTTTGGGCGAGTGGGTATTGTTTTAAGTCCACGACTGAATAACAATGGTTGTCATGACTGCCCATTCAAGAAAATCACTCAATTATAAACTGGTCCAGAGAAGCCGCGAACTTTTAAACTGATCACGTTGCGTCAGCTGGTTCATTGCACCTGCCGACCAAATCTTGCAATGAACATAGAAAAAGAAAATGTCACGGATCGGGAGCTCTTTCAGAGCTGATTTTCATATGGTTCCTCCATTTGTTGACGAAAACAGCCCGACGTTCCGCCTGCAAATTCATGGTGAAGAAGTTTACAGATGCAGAGAAATTTGTGGGAAGCAGGCGAGAGTGTTCGACTTACTTCAAGTGAGTGTCAAGCCGCTTGGTTACCAGTTTGAGGAGCCTGCTCGAGATCGTATTGGACACGTAATCGCCGAAAGCATTCGGCGATTTTGGCGAAAGATCCAAGCTACGGCGGAACTGAGACTTGGATTAAACTGTCCATTAAACCAGAGGAGATCAATTTCAATCAATCAATCATTTTCTTAAATATTTAAGCTCTATTGCAAAAACTGAATTTACTTACCCGCCATTTGGGTTTTAATTGAAAAATTGCTTTTGGGGGTCAATATGAGAGCTAACATCTTTCGAATGGAGAAGCAAAACATTACAATCAGCGACGAGTGTTCTACCTTCCGCGCTCAATTTTACTCACCTCGCAGCGAGTTTATTTACGACATAATACAGATCTCGCACGCGCTAAAATGAATGGAAAATTTCATCTTTCTTTCTGTGGTTTAACTTTTCAACAAAATTCCCGCAAAATAAACAGTTCGGGAGTATGCCAGTTTTGGAAGAAGCGATGACGTCATGATTCCATTGTTCTTCTAAAAACACGCAAAAATAGGAAAAAATAATCGCAAGAAACAAGGGAGCTTTTTTCAAAGCCTGTTCCAGGTCTCCTCATTCAATATTCGGGACTTCCGAGCTAGCAGTACCGATGAATAAGCCTTCTCCTTGCTTTTTGAATGTCAAGGGAAGTTTCCTGCCACATTTCGGTAGTTAAAAGCGACAGTTTTCAAATGACCTTCGACGCCGCCGCCGCCATCTTGACGGGTATCGAATGTAAGTACATGACTTTATGTTTAGTTTTCAGTATCTTGCCGAATTTTTACGAAATCAAGACTAATTTTCCTCAAAACTACAACGTGTAAAGTGTGTTCAGGCAAAGTTTCATCGATGGCAACAACCTAGTAAAAATGGCAACCACACATTGAAAATTGCCAACGGACAGGAAGGGTTACTGATATTGATGGTTATGCCTTAGTCTGTCTATGTAGTTTTAGTTATATTCGATCAGGTCTGTTTTTGGTCGTGTTCACCGGCAACGTATGCGACTCTCAGCTAGAAATCACTTTATTGATCCAGATCATGTGTGTGGAATGAGTTTTAAATCAGTGTGAGTAGGTTCTTATATTGATTTCTTTTATTTTGATCAGGATTTCCGTCAAAAATGTAGACAAACATCTGGAGATATTACAAACATGTTGTCGCGTTTGTGCCAAAAAGCTGGGAAAAGGAACCATGAAGACAAAAATGCTAAATATCTTCAGAACGACATATTTGTGCTCTGAGGGCAAAATATTGCTTTAGGTTCGCCTTATGTTCCACTGTAATGCAAAATTTAATGTCCAAATTCAACCCTACCTCAATAAAATTAAACATGTTTTTTTTGTTTCTTTGTAGTGTGGTCACAGGCTTACCTACCACAAAAGCCCCTCCTTTGACCCTTTCAAAAATGGGTAAGAGGGAAACAGGTTGGAGGGGGGGCTTATATACCTTGTGAGTGGAAGCTCACTTTCAATGACCATTCAACCATAGAAGAGACTGTGGCCCTTATTCAAGGGGCTTTAAAGGAGATAGATGAGGAAGGAGTCATGGAAGTGGAGGCTTGTGAAGATTTTCTCTACATAATGTTCAATCCCTCGCGTCAAATATTGTTTATACTTTACAGATGCCAAATACATAATATGTTCAGTCCCTGTGCTGTGCAAAAGGTCAATCTGAAACATGAAAAATGCCACACTCTCCCCCATCAATCCCTGTGCATGAGCAATAAGCCCACATTTAATGTCATGATATCGAATATGTGTGTATTTGAACAAATCCTAAATTATTCAGATTCTCTTGATGAAAAAGCATCTGTGTTAATGCATCGTCTTCAACAAATCATCCTCCCTAATAAATAATACATGAGAGACATCTCACAAGATAACTATTGAAAATCGATGTCAGCTGCTACTGTCTTCATTATATCAATTAAGTTTTGGTTTTTGGTTTTCATGTCCAAGAAGGTGTTAAAAAAACAAGATTTTGAGACAAAAGAGTGTGTATAATATGCGAGCCAGCGAGCCATGGCAGCGAGTCATGCAGGTTAGAATCAAAAACAGTAATACGGAAAGAATTAACTGTCAGGACCTAAAATAAAATGTTTATTTACAAAAAACAAAATGTAACAATAAATAACTTTTATTGTATCTTTACTCCGATGTGTGAGCTTTGTTTTCTTGAAAGTGCTGTTCAGTAGAAACATGAAGAACCGGCTATGAAAAAGAACTTTGGAAAACTTATGTTGTGTCCATGCCAAGTGCAGTAATCATTATTATTTTGGGCCAAACCTTGTCTAATAGAGTTGTTTGAGGGTCCCCACAGAGAAGACTTGGAGAAAATTGCTCCTCAAAGTTACAATGCCTTTGGTTTAAAGGCAACCCCAGAGTTAAAGACAATAATTTAGTATTATTCGGATGTAACATCAAATCCCATACAAGAGGATATTTTATAACAAACCATAACCTTGTTGATCTCTAACCTCTGGTCAAATCCGGTGGACTACAAGACTATAGTGTCCCATTTTAATCAGTAGATCCAAAAGCATGTAACAAGCATAATTCTTAGTTTTCCAATATGTATATTAAATTTTAAAGAGCCTCTTGCATTTGTTAAGCTTGACCAAATAATCAGTGAACTTCAGATAGTGGAATAATTAAAAGCAATAGGTTTTTTTGAAGCGGGACAAAAAAAATGATCAGGGATGATAAGTAAGATTTTCACTTTGTGGGTTTTCAAGAAGAAAATGCAGGCACAATACCCTCAGAAATCCCTTGTAAACCTGTTGTATACCTGGACGGAACCGCGTCAAGACATAAACCAACAGAACATCATATTCGAAAAAACAGATATTTTACTCACAAATGACTCGCTTGCACCAAAACAATAACCCAGGGCGGATAAATGTTGGGCGGTGCAACGAGCGCTCCGCTCTTCATTTAATGTGTGATGCGGAGTAGGAATGGCACGAGCGCTCTTTCCGCGCTTCCGGTGCGCTTGAATGCCGGCGAAATTTTCCTTTGTGCAAACCGGAAATCCTATTTTCTTTCTGTAATTTCAGGCTACAATGTTAAATAGATAAATTCGTTTCATAACAATATCAATAAAACAGTTTCATATGTTTGTGTCTGTATGCCTATAAGTCAAACTTGTTGGTCGTATAATGCCAAAATTTGAGTTTAATTTGAAAGCGTTGAATACCTCCTCCTTCCGCCAAATATCACCTAATAGTCTTTCGCCGTTTCGTTTGCAAAAGCTTAACACTTCTTAACCTCAATTTCTACATATGTTAAAGGGGGATAAATTTTATATAACATAACAAAAAATTAGATTGATATATTTTGATATAGTGGCGTTGTACTGCTTCAAACTTTGCTTCTCGGGTGCAACGCGCCATGGCGATTCGCGCAATGCGTCGCAAATCCGGCAACCGCATGTAAACAAAATTTATTGAGGTTAGTTGTAAGGTTTTTTCTCCGTTTTCCTCTCTAAAACAAAACAAGGTAAATAGTAAAAACTGAGGGGAAACTAATTTTGAAGTCTCGAAGAAACAGAAAGACGTATGAGATGTTTTTTTCAAAATTAAAAAGAAGGATGATGGTGATCAGAAATTAGCATAATTTCACCTAGCACGAGCTGCACACATTTATAAAATACACGTCATCTAGTTATGAAACACGATCTGCTGCCTTTTAGTTTTGCCATGGATGACATGGATGAGATTTTCCTTCGTGTTTTAGACAGTACTTAGTTGTTTTTGTTTTGGAATAACATCGACATTGGCGAGTAGTAGAACGAAAATATAATTCAGTGGTAGAGTCATGGAAGTAATAAGAGAAACCCTTTGAAAGAGATGTTTGTCTACTCCAATTAAACCTCCCGCAAAAAATAGCAACATTTGCCTCTCGGAGACAGCGTACCAGCACAAAGAAACGAGGAAGAAGTGCAAGAAAACAAATCAAGCCGCCATAATTCAGTGACAGCGGCAGTGTCTAATGGACAAACCACATCGCAAGCCCTGACCGAAGTCGAAAACAAGCTACATTTCTAAGCAGAGTCCCAGTCCACTGCATCACACCTTTTTGCTCGGATGCGCTCGTTTCACCGCCCAACTTTTATCCGCCCTGCAATAACCTGAATTACAGCCGTCTTCTCCGGCCAGTCGCTCACTCGCGGGAGAGAAACAGAAGCAACGGGAAAAATTACATTAAAACTTACTGTGAAAGCAAACATAAGGAAATGAATTATAGAAAAACTCACTTTTTAGTTGTTTCCAAAGCATTCTTTTTTCCTTATGATATAAAAAAATAATGAAATAAATAGGCACAAACTTGTTAGCGTGCTTACCTATTTTCGATGTACTGATTACATACGCAGTGCCTACTAAGCGCGCGATAAACGAAGAACTATAGCGCAAGAATGGTTATTCCCTGTCCTCAAGGTACTTCCCAATTCATAGTACCGAAAAGACAAATAAAAGGCCCGATAAAACAAGAATAAACGAGAATTTTGGTCAATACTCTTTCCTCTCCTCTCTCTTGTCCGCCATTTTGTATGTTTTGAAAATGACCATCGCCATGGTGATCATGTTATCGTTGGTGACGTAGACCATTGTTTTCGCTTCTTCCAAAACTGGCATACTCCCGAACTGATAAAGCAAAGTGTAAGTATTCTCTTGATTTGAACGTTCACTGTGAAATATGCGTATATTCGCAATTTTGCGAAACAAAAGAGCTAAAAGGAGAAAACAATAGCGTGCTGCATTCATTGTTTAGTTTGCCACCAACAACATATTAATGAGCTTTGTCGTGCATTCTTGGCAACCAATGGCTGAAGCGCTTTCATAGAATCTCTGCATGATTGCGCGTAATATGACAGATCTACGAACTTTGTTGAACTGGAAGTAAATTTCCCGAGAACTATAGGTATTCTGCGCGTTGTATACAATATACAATATCCCAAGAAAGTTTACAAACTATAGAATTAACGGTAATAGCATTTACAAAGACAAATGTTAAAGCAACTAAATAAATAAATTTAATTTATTAAATGAAAGCCTGTTTTCCATGAATGACATGTTGGAGTTAGAAGTTAACAGTTTCCTAAAGACAGTCAAAGATTTTGATTGTCTTAGATCAGTGGACAAATTGTTCCACAGAACAGCCCCGATGTAGCAGAAGTTATTTCTATAGTAATTGGTTCGTGGCAAGGGAACAGCAAGCTTGTTTTCAGAATCTCTAAGGTTATACGAATTAATTAAATCGCTGCGTAGTATGGATTTTGAAGACATGTAATCAGGTGCAAGGCAATTCAGGGATTTATACACCATCACAGCCTCCCTTGACGACCATGAAC